CTACACCCTTTTTGGCTCCTTCCTCAAAGCACACTGTGCGCTGTCGATCTTACGTGCTGCACAATAATGTTTAATATTTAGTATTTACTGTTATATTCCCATAGATCATCGTGATGTTGTTTATTATATTGCTCTTCTTTTTTCTTCTGCTTGTTTTCTCTTTTTTCTTTCTCAACAGGTGATTGATATATGCATTTTTTGTCTGCTTATTTTGTTGGTTTTTGTTTTTTGCCCTTTATCCCCGCCCCTCTTCTCCGCTGTTTTTCTTTCCCTCTTTCTTTCTCCCCTTTCCTTCCCCAGTCAAGTCTGTCCCGTATTTAGCAAGTGAAAATAAAATAAAATAAACAATAAAAGGTGAATCAAATAGACCATTACGGCAAGGCTGGGATGGTCTATTTGGTAAAGTAAATCCGTTGGGCATCTTTCTTCACCTTCAGACAATAATTCGGCCAAAAAAACACTAAAACTGATGACTGATAGAATAAACGGGAGCTCAACATCCAGATCACTCTTGTACAATTTCTGTTGACTGTCACTGTAACTTTAATTACAGTCAAACATTTGTACAATCCTTAAATTTGATTTCATCTCCGATGAAAAGTACTCATCAATTCTCATTAGACCCTGGAAGCAAAAACAAAAACAAGAAAAACAAAAAACAAAACAAAACGACTCATGTACCAGAAATGGGAAGGAACCATCCTGAAGTTCCTTGCATGTTATAAAAGAACCAACAGCAAATCTGCATATATCCTTTTTTGCAGAAGCATAAGCAGTCATTTTTTATGCTTTACTGCTCATGTCAGAAAAACAAAATCTTGTATTTATTTATAAGATATAACTTGTGTTCTTTCTTTGCTAGAAAACTTTTCTAAACAGTTGAGGAAGTTAACAGAAGAGGAAGTCAGCTTACTTCCATCCATGTTATCCACAGTGACTTTGCTGAGGTCCAGTGGTGCAGCGACTCCAACTGTGAAGGGGCTCTTGGCAATGGGGTCACCTCCAAACTTCACCAAGATAGTCAGCTCCCCCTGCAAAGAAACTTATCATTTACTCTGGAACAAACACTAAAAGCACTGTGTTCATTTACCATCATGACTCTGGACAGTTTGCAAGATCTGTGACACTCTGACATGACGAACTTTAAGTGTTCGGTTTCGCCAAAATATAAAAAGCACTAGAAATAATCTGATGTACCTGTTGTGCAGGTGTGTACTTGACAGTCTGAGAGTAGTCGTAGTTATCGATGATGTCAAAGTCTTTCACGGCAGAAGAGAAGGTAACGTCCAGCGGTGCTTTACCTGCTCCTTTAGTCAACACGGTGAAATGAGTCGGTTTTCCGCTCTCCACACCTGGACAGAATAAGAGAAGGGGTTATCTTGTAATAATGCTCTCTGTATACTGTCACAGTGCAGTCTCACCTACAAATAGCAGATCATATAAAGGACTAACCTTTGATTTAAAAGACTGGGCTCAATGACAGATTTTTGTTTAAGACCTATTCTAATAAATTTAATGTCCCATTAAATCCACTCTCTCACCAGTGCGAGCCAGTCCAGGACCTTCTGCTTTGACCTTTGATGCATCATGTGAAGGATCGACTTTGACACTGAAGGGGCTCTGAGGAACTTCCTGTGTGAAGTAACCAGAGTAAAATCACAGTAAGCACTTTTTTTCTTAAAAGTGGATATTCTATAGCATAGCTTATGGAGCGAAAAAAAAAGCCCAAAAGGTAAACACATTTATGGCACGTCATATTTAATGCAGAAAAATCGATGCATTTCTTCATACAAGCCTTAAATCATGAGGTCAAACAGATTTTAAGAGACACTTGCTCTTTTCTATGTTGTGTTTTACCAACATCAGACTTCTCCCGTAGAAAAAAGTGAGCTATTTCACTAGTGGTACACAAGTAGGAATCAGAGCGGGTGTAGCAACTTAGAAATGATGAAAACATTAAAATAGAAAGATGTCTTTTTGGCACTCATTAATTCATCAAATCTGACTTGAAGCTGACTTAAAATACTAGGGGAAAAAAAACAGTATTTTATCAATTGATAGAAATTATCTGTACTTTGCAGTTTATTGAGTAAATCATGCTCTGCATTCCGCACTCATCTAAATGTGATCACTTCTGACTCCAGACTGTCGACAGCGAGCACTCAGACCAGAGGGCGATCCTTTCAGTAGTGTGTTTGTACCTTGTCAGTGAACAGGACTTTAATGGTGAGTCTTCCAGCAGCAGGAGGGATGTATTTGACTGTGAACGTGTCGTTGGCGTTGGGAATGATATCAAAATCCACATCAGCCTCTTTGTCGCTGATCATGTTGGCGTCACACTTAATCCCAACGCCGACATCACCTGAACAAACACACAGAGTTGACCATAACCATATCGTGGACATAATACAGTTATGACTCAGACTCCAAATAATCTCATTTCTTGGCCGATGATCATTTCAGTGTATACACCGGCTGCCACAAGGTGGCGCTGCCTGCTTCCGTTTCTGCTCCTCAGTCAATCATCTCATCTCAGAAACACTTCACACCTCCGGGATGGTGCATTGCCAAAAACATTAATATAAACAATAAGCCACCTGTGCAGCACAATCGGCACTCCCTGCAACACAAGACCCGAGCTATCACAGAGGAATTCAGAGTATGAGAGATAAGAAAAGGACAAGAAACCATGTCAGACAACAGAAACTGCCCACCCCTGAAGGGAAACCACTGATAACCTGAAACCACTCCTGAGAAACCCCTCAGAAACCCTTTTCCTTTCTATACAGAGTGTGAGCAGATGACCTTCACAATTCTCTCTTGTCCCAAAGAAAAAGCTCAAATTACCCCACTGCACATACTCTAATGTTTAAGAATTTAATTCTAGAAGTAAAGAAAAAAAAAAACTGATGCAGTTTTTATGTGTATACACACACACACAAAAAAAAAATCTAAGTGTTACTTTCTCCAGTTTGAACATACCGATACTATAATTTGAAAATAAATAAATTCTAGTAGCATTTGCAAATAATTCTTTTAGAGCAGTTTACTTTTTTGCCCCCAGGCTGAATTGAATTTCAACGGCTCTTTTGGCACAGAGCAGAGTAAAAAAACAACACACATTGTTTGTAACATGTGCATCACTTTAAAATAAATGTAGCCTTTGAATGATACTACAGTAATACACCCCCCCTTCCTCTGGTATGTCATGGCAATGATCTCAAGGCAGAAACATCCCAACAGGAAATTCATCCATCTGACCCTTCCTGAGTAGTAACACAGGATCATGCTTCATCACCCGCATGCACCGGCCTAAACATGCTCCCCACCACATTAAAATTATATATGCACACTCAAACCTAGACGTGTGCTTTGTCTCTATTCATTAATGCAGTGACAAATACTAGTCGTCCTCAGACTTGTTTGAAGTGCAAGTTTAGATAAGCGAGTTCATAAGATGCAGCAGAATGGAAATGAATGTGGGAGTGGGTACCCTCTGATGATGAAATCAGAGGAAAAAAGGAGAAGGCTACTCTCTCAAACGTCACAGAACAGTCAGCGTAACTTGTTCATGGAAGTCGTTTTTCTACTTCAAATCTTTTCCGGTTGATTAATTTTAGAATATCCAAATCTGAAGTCTGGTGTTGAACCAGCATATTGGTATCAAAACCATATGGTTGTGATACTTTTTTAGCTTTTAATAAACTGTGCTGCTTGGACTGACACTGAAACAGAACACACCTTGCTTATCTGTGTTTAGCACACTGCTAACACTCAAACCCCAAAGTTTGTGAAACAACTTGACCAAATACAAAGCATAAAATTACAAATCCCTCTCTTTTTTTCCCCCCCAACTCTGGGGATAAATTAGAAGCTACTATATTGGTTAATGGCCACATCAGGCATATCTACTCTCTGTGACACCACAGAAGCACAAGTGGATCCACCACTGTTTAAGGTTATACATGTTAATGTCCCAGCCAAAGAAAAGCACATCCCCTTTAAGCAAGTTCTTTTGAAGTGTCATAAAATAGTCAGGATTTCCTGTCTAAATGATTCTTAGTGTGTTCAAGTTACCATCTCCAGCTCCTGAACAGTCCACAGTGAAGTGTGTGGGCTCGTTGGCCTTCAGTCCACTCCTCTCCACTCCGGGACCAAACACCTTCACCATGTTGGGGTGGCTGCCTTTACCCACATTCACCTACGGGCACCAACAGGAAGTGACATCACTTATTTCAATCTCCTTAAGGATGTGAGGCAGTTAAATTTTGTAGAAAAAAAAAAATTAAGAAAACCATGAATGCTATAATACAGAACCACAAGGCTCCAAACTAGATGCACAGCTTTTTACTTTTTAATTTATTCTTAGCATATTTACTGCAACACATTTCAACATCACATGTATTAATGCTGGCTTCACACAGCTATAACTTAAGAGGAAAGCAGATGAGGAGGATTCAATGTTTCCAAAAAGCCTCTGAAAGGTGTAGCAATAAACCAGGGTGGTGGCATTAAACAGTGAATTCTCTACAGGCAGATCACATCTACAATGTACACAATTGTGCAATTTTACTCTAAAACAGTAAAGAACATTTCTAATAAAACTGAAAAACTGATAATAAAAAGACACTGAATGAAAAGTGAAACACAGTAAATTGCCTAAGTACAGGTTAACAACTTCACAGGTGCAGAAAACTAACTGCTGGGACTTTAATATGAATTTCTGGCATTTAAAAAGGGGGAAAGTCCAACTAATAAATACCACTAAATTTACTTCATGATGATCAACTTGATTCCATATGAAACTCTAGTGTCTTGATGTGATATTAAAATTTTACCACCATCATAAAAACTTTTTTTTTTTTTAAGAAACAAAGTCTTAAATGTCCTTTGTGCCATTTAGATAACATTTCCAGTACAAGACTGTACAATAATTATTCCACATCACAGCTACACACAGTTACTGGGTCCGATTCAGGATTCTGACTTTTTGTTTTGCCCTGTCTTTGGTCACTTCTTCCCTTTCTCTGCATTTCCATGTAGCGTTTAGATTTCGTTGTACTTTGTTTTGCTTTAAACAAGAAATCAGTGAATGACTGAAAGAAAGAAAAACTGAATGAGCAAAGTCTAAGAAGAAATGAACCAAACACAGAACAACATTTAAATTAAATGTTAATTTATTTTGAAATCAACTTCCACTTGTGGCAATTAAAGTGTTTAAGTGCTTTGTTGTTTTAGTACAGACTGAAATTAAAGTTGGTTTCAGCAAACACGTTAGTTACAGATTTACTGGGAATATTTTAAAACAAAAATGCAAGCACAGAAATCTCAAATGAGGCGCTAACGGAGGGAAAAAAAACAATTCTGCAAACTTCTAAAAGCTGATTTAAAGGATTTTAAGTCACTACAGATGTTTAAAAAGGAAATCTACTCATTCTATATAATAAAAATAGAAATCAGTGCAATGAGTGCAAACAGTTTCTGCAACTTGTGTTTAAGCTGATGAGTGCTCTTTTCAGACTTGTTTTTAAAGCCCAACCCAAGCAGACTGTCAAAGGGTGTAGAGGTTGATTTATTCTGCAACTACTCCAGAGGATTAGTCACAAAAGAAGCCGGGAGATAAACGATACACGCTCTGACACACAGCAGGCAGCGGTAAACCATTCAGCTTAGGGAGCGACAGACACCATGTCCACTCACTAGTGGGTAAATTAGACAGCATATAAAGAGCTGCTAACATAGTGTGGACTTTATGTCGCAGTAAACACTGCAATCATAAACTGCTTTAGTCATCTGAGAGAATTTCTAAAAATAAGTGCCCAAATAAGAGCCCCGAGGGATTCAGAGATGGACTTTGCACCTTAGATACAATGCATGTATGGAAGCTGCATAAGTGAGCTCATTTTGACACAAAAGAATCAACTTTCTGCTTCAGTTTCTGGCTTTTAAACAGATTCTTTACTCCCTCGTCTGTAGTTCACCAGCACAGCAGTGGACAGTTTACACTGAGCCAGATTTGAACCATGAACCTCATTCCCATGCTGGATTCTTTTCCTACACGTTTGATTAAAAAGGTGTCACTGCTGAAGGCTCCCAGCAGTGCTGAGAGCTGGGTGCGTCTGTTTGCATTTTATCCACCCAAAGTATCTTCACTGAAATTTGAGAAAGGCGCAGTCAGAACGAGGAAGCCTGCACGCAAGTCGCTGCATCTCAGAACAAGCCTGCTGAACAATCAGTGACTAAGACATCACAAGGTGTCCATCGGCTGAAGTGATTTATGGACCACCGTGAACACTACAGAAATCAGTCAGGTTGTTACAAAAGCTTCTGAAAGTCTAGTCTAGCCCTAAACACTTTGCAGGATAACAGACGTGCAACAAGCTGAATGTCTTTGCCAGCTCTTCATGCTGGGATCTTCATGAATCTCAGACTCTGCGGCAGTTTCTCATGGGACTTGTGTGTAATGTATGTGGAACTAAACTTGTATCAAAGAGAAGGAGAGAACCGATAAACTGCTTCAAAACAAACAGCAGCAACTCAAACAATGATTTCAAAAAGTAAAATAAAAGGTTTACAGACTGGTTAGTAAACATGAATGGAAAAAGAAAACCTTTTCACTCTCAGTTTTGCCCTGATACTCAAAATCATGGGTCAATTGCATCTGTGTTCAGAATTTATGTTGGATGTGGATGACTTTCACACGTCAGCAACTTTACACTGAAAGATTGTGTTGATCTCATTAAATACACACATGGAATGAAAAGGTTTTCCCTGAACATGAACACATTTAACAGGAGGAAAAACAACAACAAACACGCTGTTAAAAATTCACTTATCTGAACCTCTCTGGAGTATAAATGTGAACTCTAAAGAATGCTGTCATTCTTTAGAGTTCATTATTTTGAGTCTTATAATTTCTGGTAAACTGAGGCTAAATCCAAAATGTCAAAATCTTTTAAACCAGCTACGCCTGAAGGCTTTGACATGTTTATACCAATGATGGGAGTTGCTAGTGTAGTTACTTTTGCATAATCCCTCCTATATTTTTAGTTTGTCAAAAGTGAAAAGAAAACATTTTTATCTTTCAATTTTCCGACAGGAAACCACTTTTGTGACTAAAACATTAGTATTTTGCTAATCCAATCCGATTAAGGGTTTTAAAAAAGGATACACCCCCTTGAAGAAGTCTACTTTTAAATGATAACCAGACATTAGAAATGTAGTTAAATCTTAAGTGCGTGTACTTAAAAAGGCTGAATGGAGTCCTGAAAGCGATGCCATCATGAGGCTGCTGCTCACTTCATGCCCAAAATCAAAATCTGAGATGCCAAAAAGCAGCCCTCGTTTCTGTGACATCATTAATACTTACAAGTAAAGAGTTTGTTTTTTCTTTAAATCAAAACTGGAGCTTTGTCTATAACCCGAAGAATAAAGTTTGGCTCACAAAACTGATATTTATTGGTATATAGCACCACAGGGGTCATTACATTGTAGACTATTTAGTGAGCACTGCCTAAAAAGTTTGAGCAAGTTCAGTTTAGGATTCTTCTTAAGGGTTATGACCCATGAATCTAGCTGGTTTATATGGTGAGTACTGACATTTTGGAGTTGATGACTGCTGATACATCAAAGCTGGTTTGTAACTGGGATCAGAAAGGTTCAGGTGAGCGATTTTCAGGTGGGACTCAAACCCAAAAACTTAAAATAAAAATGCATGGACAGTGGTTACAGTGCAGAAGACTGGTTAGTGTCTTGTGGTTACATCATATTACTAGAGTCTACATAACAAGTTTTAAGATTAGTGGTTTTAAGTGAGAATGTGAAGGACAAACACTGTTACAGTGAAAACAGTACTATGATGGAGTTCATTAGAACAGTGTAAACTACAACAATTGAAAAATCAAAAACACTTCAGCTTCTAAATTTTTGATCAGACACAGGATATCGATTCCTTCCTCTAACAACCATCTGTTGATGATTGCGACGCTTTACAGATACATGCTGAGAGAAAGGTTTGTTCCCTTGACGAAGAAAACAAACTCACTAACCCAAACTACAGATATCCTCCCACGTCCACCGAACACATTTATGAAGGTATATTGATTACATTTACATTCAAGTATCTGGTGATGAGCAATCTACTGAGTTACAGACTTATCCATGCACCTCAGTTTACCATTTCTTCATGTGAAGTGTTTAATTCTCATAATATTTAAAGTTTTTCTTTTTTTGTTGTACGATGAACTCCACCTAAACTCCACCTAAACTAAGAGGTGTACCTCTCCTCGATAGATGTAGTTATGATAATCAGAGGCCTCTTAGTTTTGCGGCTCTCATCTGTACTCTTTACCTTCAGCTCTGACTGAACAACTTCTACTCTCTCTGTCTTAATTAAATGCTCCGACTGAACAACCTTGATGCTTTCTGCCATGGCAAGATGCTCAGATTTGGGCAGGGAATTATCATTTCCTGTAGTAACGGGGTTCTGGCTGCTTACCCTGAAAGGGCTTTTGGGGATGCCGACTCCGGCCCAGGACACAGCCACGGTGTGCTTGAGAGAGGAGGTGGGTGTGTAGGAGCAGCTATACAGTCCATCACCTTTGCTTCTCATCTTGACCTCCACAGGAAGTCCCTCTGCGTCCTGACAAACAAATAGGAAGACAGTTAATCAATAGGACAAAGATGGGTACAAAAAATATATTTGAATGAATTAAATGGTATAGTTTTCTCTTGTTATAATGGGAACTCTTCTGGTTAAAGCTTCTTTAATTGAAGGATTTGTTATGAAACCATAGGTAACATAGTTCAATCACATGACAGACAACAGCACCAGAAACTAAGCAGACAGACAAACTTGACAACCACATCAAGCGAAAGCACATTTCATCCATTTGTTCATTCATTTCCTAGCAGTCTATTCAGCAGGGCAAAGCAGACTCCCACCACCATCTTCAGGGTGACACCGAAGCAGTCCCAAAGCAGCAAGTCTTCCCTGGGTCCTGGGTCTGATCTCAGGGTTTCACACTCAAAACACCACATTGAAATAACAGCTTCAAAAACTGGGTCACCCCATGGCTAAGCAGTTTGAGTGGCAAATGGTCAAAAATGTCTTAAGCATAGCACATTTAACTGGACTCACACACTTTGCATGCAACCTGTAAACTTTGATTTAGTTCATCTACATGTAGCTCATAAACCAACATGAACTTCACCATATGATCAAACTATGAGGAACTGGATGCAAAAATGAATTCCACACGTTTATTCCCACAGTCATGTTTGCAGAACACATTTTTAAATGTTTGGAAACTTTCTTACAGTAATTTAAAAAAAAAAAAAAAATAAGGTGAACAAATATTAAGCTAATCTTTGTTTATAATGGTAGGCATTATTGCAAAATAATAATAATAATAATATTAATAATATATCCCTGAAAGTTTGGGGCAGGATTTCTGCTTCTGACCTGAGCTGTGATGTTCAGAGGTCCTTTCCCAGCATGCTCAGCGTTCACAGTGAACTCGGCAGGCTGATTGACGACACAGCCGCTCTTCTCAAGCCCCGGCCCGTAAGCCTGGACCTGCAAACGCAAAACAAAAGTCATTCCTCCAACTTAAGTGGTCATTGTTCAATTAAAAACACCTGAACATGTGCTCTTGTTTGTTCAGAGTCTCAATGACCTTATCTGGGAAGCTAGTGTTGTTATCAGGGATGATGAAGGCCATGAAGGGGCTGTGTTCGATGTCCTCTTCATCACAGGTCACATGGACGGCATACTCGCCGGGTTCTGTTGGCCAGTAACGAACGTCACATGACCCATCATTTTGGTCCTCGCACTCGATTTTGGCCTGTGAAGGTCCCTCGATGGCAAAACCTGAAGACACAGCAGATTAGATTAAGTTAGTGAGGGTGTAAAGAACTGCAGGTTGGATACATTTAGTGGTAACATTTCAGGCTCAAAATTGCAAGCCTTACTAAAGCGGCAACATCCATCTTTTATATCTAGCATATGATTTTTAACCCCTTCACCTTTTTTTTTTAAAGCCCAATCCCCCTTCGGGAGAAGGTTTATGGATGTAGTGAAGGAAATTATGATTGATGAAAAGATTTGATGTCTTCTGCTGGTTCAGCAGCAGCTTGATAAATACAGGTGAACCTGAACCAGGTGTGATCACTCACCCAACACTCCCACATCAGTGCCAATGGACTCCACTACAAAGGTGGCAGGTTTACCCACAATGCCTCCTTCCAAACCTGGACCCCAGGCCCTGATCTGCTGAGGCCCCGCCTGCTGACCAACTGTTACTTCAAATGGACTGGAGAGGGAAAAAAAAAAAAATCAGATCACAGTGTGCTGCCGTTTTGGTAATGTCACAACATATGCATAAAAACAACATGGTGTGTGTGTGCGTGCGTGCGTCTAAATACCGCTACACAGTTTGAAATCACCCGAAAGACTGTCAACAAACAAGCCAACCACAGTGCCCCACAGGACTGAAACCCAACACTGCAGTTACAGTGCGTGTGCACAGAGTCTGCAGTTCATGTCTGTTGCTCTCCAAATAAAACTGCGTGTGCGGATTTACAGTTTTAAATGTTCCACTTTTCCAGTTTTGTCTCTTAGCCTTTTGAAACTTATGCCCACCAATGGCACAAACCATGACTATGCTTACTGGGCCAAAGATGTCACTACAAAAAAACAACAACAATGTACATCTATATACTTTTGAGCATCAATCTTAAATTAAAGGGCAGGCAGACATCACTTCAGTAGAAAATTCCAAAACTGGGAGTTTTAAACTGAAATAATGAATAAAAGCACTGCAGTACAGAGGCATTACGTGAAGGCTGAGGTCACCGGACTACCTATGGCTGGGAGTTTTGCCTCTCGGCTCATCCATCTTCTCCACATCTGGACTTACAGACACTGGTGAGATTCAAGATCAGCTATAGTTTATATTCCTTATATAAAGGAGTTTCTTCCTCTGAGCTTAGTTTAGCGAGCTAATGGTGAGTGCCGGATGAAACAAAACAGAAACCTGTTAAAAGGGGATCTCAACTCCCCTGCCCCAAAGATGTGAAGGCTGAGGGAAATTTCTGACCTGTTGTGACCTGTGAAGAGGTCTAGATTTTAAGACTGAACCACACACAGAGTTCAGTTTTATCCCTCAGATTCATGTACATCTTCTGATATATGTTCTTTGCTCCTCAGAAACCCTACACCATTACTAATATTCACACAAGGAAAGAGGGAAGAAAAAGAAAGAAAAGCAATCTGCTTCACAGAGAGGTGACAAAAAGAAAACGAGGTCTTGAACATGAGATCTCCTGAGGCCCCAGGAGACCCAGTCATTCAGATTAGATGAGGTAATGTGCTGAGGTAATGCCGTGAAACACGCAGCATACAGCTCACCTCTTTGGGATGTGCTGACCTCCCCAGGTGATGGAGACGATGTATTTCCCAGGACTGCTGGGGTGATACTCGAAGGAGAACACCCCATCCTGACTGGAGAGCTGCTTCACTGGCTCCTCGACGCCCTCTAAAACCACACGCAAACAGATAATGTGATATGTCTGCACATCGTGGAACGGGACAGACTTGTGTGCTGTAATATGAGGCTATATAAATAAAACCGAGTGAGTAACAAGCTTTTAAATCAGAGTTGAAATAGCAATGTGACATTTTGGAAAGCAAACATCCAGAAACATACAATGGAAACTGAGCCGGTGAATACAACATGAAGTTATTTGTCTCTAAAGTCACAGACAAAAAAAGAAGAAGTCAGATCTATGTGGCGTAATGAGGACTGCAGTACTCCACAAACTGAGGCCTGATTCAAACATTTCCTATACTGTTTTCTATCATTCCAATCTTGACTTGACAGTAAATTACAACATGTCATCTCATCTGGTTCTTATGTGTGATTAAGACCAGACTACCAGCACTCAGAGTTCATCCTCCAACAGAGAAAGCATTAAAGTCCTGACCACACCAGGGGGCTTCATGGTGTGAAGTCACTAAACAGAAGATGGACAAAAACTGCAGTGTCTGTATGAAACTGGGCCAATGCGATTCTGAAGTTGGTTCTTTGTTATTAGGTCTGAGCTTGTTTCACTTCTCTTAAAAGCTTCTAAGATATTAACCGCACTCACTCGGTCCTTTGACTGTCACTTTCAGTTCTCCACTGCCAGCGTTCCTGGTGTCCACCTTGATATCACCGACCTGTTTGACCCTCAAACCTGACGGCTGGAGACCTCGACCTGTCGCCCTGCACGCTCCCGGCATGCAGGCTGCCAGTGAATGAGACGGCACAAGTAAACAGGTGATGACTCTTTCATTTAAAGGATTTAAGCTGTGCAATAGATAAATGGGAAAAAAAATGTACTCACCGGGGCCCACGTCTACACTGAAGGGGCTCTTTGGGATTCCAACGCCTCCGAAGGTGACTGTGATTGTGTGCGGTCCACCCTGCGTGGGTCGGTAAGTGCAGCGGTACACGCTGTCGCCTTTATCCTCCATCATCACCTCCACAGTGTTCTGCCGGCCCTGAGGATCTTTGATCATGGCTGTCACGTCTCCTGTACCGGCACCTACAGTGACGATTTTTTTAATATCAATGTTGATCTCCATAAAATCAACACCTCTGTATGTAGAAACATTTTAAAGAGTGATTTTTTCTTCTTGTGTCCGACTGCTCTTACCTGCAGTGTAGATGTCAAAGTAAGTTGGTTTGTTGGCGATGTTGCCCACAGGTTCGACTCCCGGGCCTTTCACTGTGACTTTGGAAGCATCTCCAAGCGCTTTATCCACATTCACCTCAAAGGGACTTTTGGGAATCTCTTGGCCCGCAAACAACACAGTGACCTGGAACAATTTAAAAGTAAATTATCTAGATTCAGCTTAAAATTTTAATTAAAATAATAATAATCAATAACAATATCAAAAACAACTCTGATGTAATTTTAAAACTCTTTTCATTACACAGCAATGAGATAAAAAAAAAAAAAAACTGGCATTAATAAATTTTTCCAATAAATCCAAATTTAAAAAAAACAAAACAAAACTATTTTTACTGGTACTGCATTTTCCAATGAAATGGAATACAACTGTATAAATATGTATAAATTTTTTTTTAAAGGTTAATTTCTTAATAAGAAATACATCGAACAAGAAATCTTCACTACAGTAAAAAAAAGTCCATGTTTTTCTGGACTTCTTCACTCAGTCTGAGTCGTAGAATAGAAAAACTTGACGTGGTGAAAATGAACACTTTCTAGGTAGGTGACAGTGTTTTCTAATTCCAAAGATTTGACTAATACACTGCTTTTATCTGCTGGTCATTTATCTGTTGTTGAAACATAAGCAAATTAGCGTATTACACAAGTTATAATTCCTAATTAAACATCTGCTGAGAGGAACAATAACCTTTAGGTTTTGGTTTTTTTTAAATAAATACTTGCCCCACGATACACAGAAAGTGGGTTTCTTCTGTCCTCATTCAATTATAATAACGTGTTCACAGTCAAAACAAAGCCTACCTGGTGGGCTCCCATGACCTGAGGAATGTAGGTGACACTGTACGTCTTCTTGCCCTCGTTAAGCTCCGCATTCAGCTGATCAACACAAATGCAAGTGGATGTCATGCAAGTTTGAGGTAGTTAAAAGGGGGACCAATTATTAAAAGGAAGTAAAAGCATAAAGTACACACACAGGTCCATGAGTTTAGCGTTTGTGAAGTTAAACAGCTATAAACACAATTTCACTATTTTTTATTCTCCCTAAACTTTGGCTCTAGGTTGCCCAGCACGGTCCAAGAACAAAAATGCATATCAATAAAGCAAAATATGTTTATGCCTGTCATTAGATGCTACTCTATAATGCGGAGGTGGATTTTACCTCCTCTCTTGTGCCGTCTGGATGATCCAGGTAGACCGTGACCTGCCCCTGACCCGCGCTGAATGTGTCCACTGTGAAGACAGCAGGTCGCAGCACTCTGTTTCCTGTGGGCTCGATACCTGCAGAGGACGACGGTCAATTCAGGAACTTTAGAGATCAACAAGCGGCAGATTTAATCCCAATCAAAACCTTCTGCACACATATTTGAACCACAAACACACATAGGATGGATTTACAGTGACATGAGTGATTAAGGGTTCTTCTATGTGCACCGTTTGATTTATAGAGTCCAGCATCAGATTCCATAATGAGTGGGTGTACATTTACTAATCTGGATGTATTGTGTTTTAATTGAATTTCACGTTTTGTCACAAACGGGTCTCCTTACTTTTCCCTTTCAAATTGTCGTTATTAGCATGCTCTCTCGCTAGTTCATCTCTGACAACAGATTAAAAGCTCAGCTGAAAGCATTCGAATACTGCAATTTTCAAATTCTAGACAAGAATCCTGTGAGGGAGCAGCTGCTGCAGCACACACAGACTGCTCCTGATATAATTATTCATTTTATTATTTCATAAATATTTAAATCTTTTGTCCTTTTGTTTTTCTAGCACAAGCAGTCAGTCTGTAGCTGCTGTGGGTGCGTTGGTGTCTGTGTTGCCTTGTTATTAATTTCCTGGTATTTCCTCCTCACTTACAGTCCAAGTTAAAGAACAAATGTTGACCTCACCACCTTGTGTTTGTGTGGATCAGATGTGAGTGCAGCCCATTGTTTAGATTATAGCTGCTTGTTTCCTCGCAGCGTGTCAAGTGCTCAAACACAGTGAGAAAAACAAATTACTGAATCGGTAACCAGATGAACTCGAGTGTTTTCAGAAGTGTTAAAATCTTTATTTTGTGTTGCAAGTTTGTGCGCGTACCCGGTCCGTATGCGCGGGCCTTCTTGGGGTTGAGTTTGGGTTTGAGTGGAGCTCCGGGCTTCAGTTTGGCTTTGGGGAACTGGGACAGGTAGGTCATCACCGACTGTTCGTCCGCACTGGGGTCGATGATTTCCTCTGGAGCGATCACCTGCAATTGCACAAACCGTTTACAGCTGATCCAAAATAAATAAACCCAACTGTCCCTAGAAGTCAGAACTTGGCTCTCAGTGTGAAGGCAGCTTTCCCTGAGCACTCTGGTTTGGTAAACAGGAAAGCAGAGTCTCTGAGAGTGTGTTTTTATTTCTACCACCACACATCTCACATTAACATCTCCTGTTCTGTTTAGTTCTTGAGGATGTCATTCACATGTGGTTATCTGATGATGACTAACAGAATTTGTTTGTTTTTTTTTCCTGCTCAGACACAAGACTTGCATTAAAAGCTGAGAAACTCTGCACCATCTTCATAATTATGGCAATTTAACTGAAATAAACAAAATGAACTACATTTTTTGATATTTCCTATCGCAAGATAAACAGATACACATAACTCTGGCAGATTGCCATTTCCACGTTAATCTGCAGTCATCTCTACATGATATGGTAGCTTCAGGATACAATCTTTTACCAAGTAATCAGTCAGAATCTGAAACTGCGCAACAACCACAAAGGCAGTCAAACTAGATACAAGGGAAAAAAGCTAATAGACGAACATGTGATAGTCGAACGAGATTTTGACAAGGCGACAATCTGTTGTTGGTTTCACATTTCCTTCCAATTACAAACCATTTATGCACCAGAGCAGTAATGAGATCCAATGCTGGCGCTGCATGAGGAGATGTCACTTTTTTAACCCAAATTTATTGAGCTGGCTTCATTTCAGGCATCTCTACAGATGAGTCAAGTTCATTCACACCAAACTGGGAAAGCCATTTCCTTCTGCACCAGGCCTTGTTCATGAGGGCATTGTCATGTGGAAACAAGAAGGGGGGTGCGGGGGCTATACTGCACCAAGGTTTGATGCATGCTGTTAAAAATATAATGAAGCATTAATATTTCCTTTCATTGGAAGTAAGAGTCACTAACCTGGAAAATGGAGCTCATTGTTTGGATCGTGTGTGTAAACGGGGTGTACACACAGTGAATGCTGAATAAACACACACACACAAACTGGTGGATGCATAAATTAAACATGGGCAATGTTTCAAGTAATGATGTCAGTGTGTAGAAGTAACCTCTGTCAAAACCTCAAGTTTCATGCTGTTTTTTTCTACTCTTGGATCTGTAAGATGTCATGAGGAAGAGGCAGACACCTGCAGCCAATCAGAAGAAGAGCACCAACATTATTATTTTGGACTGAATGATTCAAAGCTATTCTAGTAGCTTTAAAACAGATTAAGGAAAACTCAGCAGTTTTAGTGAGAAGTCAAGTTCATGGAAAATATCAACTCTGAGTGTTTATGGGGAAAATGTCCCAATGTTTAAAGTATGAAGCCTGAACTTTTGGTTCACAGGGGTTACTTTTACACCCCTTACATCATAATTTGAAACGCTGGTCTAATGGTGTTTGCTCACATTAAATATGCAACTACTTCATCTATCGAAATGCAAACAGACTACTTTGGTCTAATATTCTGGCTCAGTCGCTTCAGACACAGAAGCATTAGTGATGACTTCATTCACATCCACATTTCCACCTGAACTCTGACGCCATGCTTCTTTGCGTTTTCGTTTACTCTCTAAAGACTTCTGTTTGAGTGTCAGCTGACTGGAGGTGAAACAGGAAAAACACAAATCAAGCATCAACCATTTTCTTTCCTTAAGATTAAAAATGAGACTGCAGAGAGAAAAGTATTTTGTTATCCTCAAACAAACATCTAAAACACCAAGTACCCACTTCCAAAAAGATGAAGACACTTTCCTAATCACTTCCTGTGAAGTTTCTTCATTACAGAAACATTACAGCTGTTAAACTCTAGGCTTGCATTGCCTCAACCTCAGCCAAGCTTGTGTTGAAAAATGAAAAAACTTCCTGTGTTGCAGTAAAAATCAGGAAAATAATAATCTGATCATGTTCTTGACCTCTGACCTCTGGCAGCAGCTCACAGAACAGCAGATTCTGCCTTAATTGGGCTGCGTGACACAAATTGCATGGCGTTGTAAGAACAGCATCCATTGCGATCTGCTTGTTTACACTAAAAGCCTCTCTTGCATTCCTCACACTTGGTTGCTAAAGCAAGCAAAGCGTTTGACTTGAAAAGCCAACTAAAGCTAGAGAAAAAAAAGTGTAACAGTGAGTGTCTGAGGTGGAGGCAAAAATTCTAGCACTAAATGACGTCACCTGAATTTTTAATGTCACTGAAAATGCTTTAAAGGTTAATTTAAAGGTCAGAGCAGTGACGGCAAACAATGGAGGGAAACCAACCTGCGGGATGCCCAGCCAGTCATCAGCCAGCTGCATGGCTTCGGTGGCATTCTCCACTGGTCTGACTGGATCCCAGGTCTCCCAGTCTGGACACAGGCCTGCAAACAACAGAAATAAAACAAGTAGTTTACATAGAGTTGGGCTTGTATTAGCAACACTTACATGTTGTACACAATAAGATAAAACTCAACATTATTCTTTGTTTAAAAAGTAATCTAAAAGACCGTGTTTATAATTCTGATGTTTTCAGTTTTTAGGAATCTCATTCATACAAACATGGAGCCTGGATTTCACTTCGATTTCACACACAGGGTAATTAAAAATACCAGTGTGGTTAAACTCCAAAGGAAACACATCCATGCTGTGAGAAAGCCACTCTTACAGGCTTACTGCATGTTGTCATCGGGCCAAATAGTTCCAGCTTCACCCAAAAATGCCATCTGACGATACAGTGTAATTAATTTTTGCTAATGAAGTCCTGCACAGCCTGGAACAACAAGGCGTACCTGGTGCACAGCTGTCCACCAGTGCTCCCAGTACTTTGCCGTCCCTCCAGTCCTGGCTGAAGTTGGTGATTGGCAGATCGGGGACTTTGTGTTGGATCCAGCCCAGCAGACGCTGCTTGGGTGTCTTTGACTCTGCCTGAATACAAAAGCACATTGCAGTTAGCAAGCTCCTGAAGAAGATAACTTTCCATTTACAGCCACAAAAACAAGTGATTTTTAAAAACCAAACCACGAGCTAGACATTACCTCTGCATCCTCGCCTTCCCAGACTGGCATGGAGATGGAGTAGTGTAGGATCAGAGTCCAGACCAGACCCAGGATCAGTTTCAGGTTCCCATCTACAATGGCTTTAGAGTCTGAAAGAAACAGGCAGACCTCCGGTCAGATTCAGATCAGTTATTTGCCCGTCCGTCACATCCCTCCGTTTGTCCTTTAATTAAATGTTTATTGGCTCATTTTTCCCCCTTTAGTGAGGTTTTGTGATTGTAATCCTGCTAACAAACTGTGCCAAAGTTATGGATGCAATTACAAGAACAAGTTACCACAGTGAGACTTGGATGGACTTAAAATTAACTGGAGAGGAAACAAATCATGATCCAGGAATTTCTGTAGGGATAATTTAACATCGTAAGCCGGGACACATTTAACCCCATCTTCACACAAATATCACACACTGATCTGGGTCCAGATCCAGATCCTACTGTCATTAACCTCCAACGACCAACATTCATATTTACAACGTGTCCCACTTTCCTCTTCTGGCCCCACACGACTGGATATTTCACACGGCATGCTGCAGAATTTATTTCACAGAACTGTGCAACACTGAGCTTAGCTGCAGATCTGAAATGCAAGCCAGCGACAAACCTGCTCCTGACTTTCTGTGGCTGTAAACCTTTTCACCTCACAGTCTGAACAGAGCGCTGCTGGGTAACATTTCACATCAACCAGACCTTACTGTACCAGCTGGTACCACACACAGCAACATGAGTTTATCTTCAGCTGATGCACACAGAGTTCAGACCACAGCAGATAAAATCACTTTATTCAGAGTCTCTCGTAACAGCAGCAAGTTGTTAAAGCAAGCGTGTGATATTTAAATGAAGGTTATATTTCAGTAAAAGGAACATGTTGGAGAAGACATGTTTATAATGGTGTATACATTTATAGTTAAAGCAAATGTAATTAATATTTTAAAAAGTACTGGACTAAACATCTTCAAAGAGTGTTTAATAGTTTGAGGTCAAACCTTTTGCCCGTCATACTTTCCAGCCTCTCAAAGAAAGCCATATTAGGGTAAAGCTCAGGCTTAGACTGCTCTAGAAACCGTTTCAGACTTTATCTTTGAGTACTGGATCTGTGTGATGTCACTGAGAGCCCCCATTCCTAATATGCTCATCTAATCCAGCTGCTGTTCAACTCTTCTGTTTGAGAGGTGATGTTGGCTTAGATGGAGAGAAAAAACAAAAACAAACAAACAACCAAAACATTTTGTTTCAGACTGAAGATGAACCGATATTGATAAAGATCATTTTGACTCATACAAAGCCACTAGCAGAGATAATCAGAAAAAACTTGTTCTAATGAGTAAATGCTTATAATCCCATTAAAACATCTTCTGATATCAGGCTCTTTTGAAGCAGAGCTGCACGAGGCCACAGTCTACCTCTGCGAAACGACTCGTTTCATTTTATCCACGCCTTATAAATGGCCTGTGTTGCCGTTTTAATGCGAGCTGTTGACACAGTCGCGACACAGCTTATATCTGCTAAACACGCCACCACAGAGTGTGGGAAATCCTGTGATCCACCCCGAGAAGCTTCAGCTCCGCTCCACCGCCAGCAGGACAGCTGTGGTCCCAACATGTTGCGACAGCTCAGGTTTAGGTGGAGCTTTGCAGAGCTGCCGCCTCGCCCAGTGACAACATTTGACTGTGTGTGTTGCGACATCCTGCTTTCTATATTTTTTTTTAATTATTATCTCCCTTTTGTGTCCTTTAGCCCTCTTTTCCTGTTTCTCATTGTTCAAACTACATTTGCTTTTCCTCTGTCCATCTCACTCTCCCCACCTGCATGAATTATTAACATACAGCTTCATATCTCTGGTTTCTCCCTTTCTTCCCTTCTTCCCCACCCAGACTGTAATGCCACACCTTTAAGTATGTGTGTCACTACCAACTGCAAACACTTTGCCAGTGAACTTTACCCCCAACTCACATATCCACCCAGCTTACTAACTGTTTAATCACACCAGCTGTGACACTTTCTGCATTAAGAATTTGTGAGTAACTAAAAGTGTTACATCAATGCATGAGAAATGTATGAGTCACAGATCAAGACAATCCCTTTTTTCTCTCCCACAGCGAGCTTTTGCACAGCCCCTTAGCTTATGGAAGTTGCCATCTAAGCCAGCTTTTGTCTGATTGGCTGTCTCTGACAATTAGAAGGTTTTGTACAGAGGTGTGTACATGACCATATAATGACATCCCTACTTTATGATCAGATTCAGAGCAAAGACTAGAAATCAAACTGTCTGGATCAGAGGGACTTTTTAAAATTGTGCATGTTTCCTGTGTATATATGGAATCGTGACCATGTGTAACGCAACGATCCACTGAACATAACTCAAAGTCTGAACATAAACATTAAACTTTAGATTAAAATTGTATGTGAGACAACAGATGATAGAGTTTGATTTGTGCAAATGAGACAGAAAGCTACTAGACAAAAACTGTTCGAGTTTCTTGTGTACTGTGAGATAAAAACTACCACTTTTGTCAATGAGTCTGGTGAAGTGGAACAGCTTATCTTTTGTCAGAACCAGTTAAAAGAAAAGCCAACGAGGAACCTTGAATCCATCTCAAGGCCAACAGATAGCAATAGCTGTGGTTCCAAAAACACTTCTTTTCCTAAAGAAGGGCACTGAAAACCAGCTTCTACACCTCTGTAGTCATTTTCCTGCTCAATTTATGGGCTCACTACGTATTTTGGACCATACCAAATAAACAGTTTGTAATAATCTTCAAACCTCATTTCAAACTGGAGGACTAGCTGTAGTATTAAACTCCACGCTCATTTTTAGGATGTAGGTTGGCTGAACCTCTGCTCTAACACTTCACAACATCAGGCTGGGAACTAAACACCGTGTGTGTGCCCTTGTCGACACAGTTTTGTGGGTAACGAGGCTATCACCATGGTACCCCCATTGTTCATATAAAGGTCGGGCGTAGCAGAAAGACTGGAGGGCTTGGGGGGTTTAAAAAGCAGCCAGTTAAAACGATGACGGAAGGAGCAGAGACAATAAACCCCGAGGACCGTTTGTGGCATCTCCAGAGTTCAGCTCGTGTGAGTGCCACAGAGAGCAGGTTACAGACTGCTTTAACCGCTCTAATAATCTCCTGCATTGTTCCCTGCCGGTTCAAGTCTGAGCCCTCGTTTCCCTCCCTCGTGACAGACTCCAAAGGTAGCGCTGAGGAGCAGACATTACTCCAGCAGCCAGCTACAAGTCTTCAGCTAATATTTCAAAACAGCAAGAGAAACG